GTGTGGACATGGATGAGATAGGACACAAAAACGGTGTGGGAGGACGGTCGTAAGCTCATGGTGCCGTTTGTTGTAGCCGCGGTAGAGAGGGGAACAGGGCTGTGAGATTGGCGATCTGATGGCAGCAAGTTTATTGTGTGGCTTGATGTGGTTGCGGTAGAGAGGGTCACGAGCTTAGTGATTCGGTTGGACCGTGAGTTTAACTAGATGATTGGGAATTCATGGATTGTTTAGTAGAGTGATGAGCTAGGTTCAGTGGTGAGATATGTTCGGTATATTAGTTTTATGCTTGTTTCCTAATGAACTCGTGGAACGTTTCGTTAGAATTGTATTCGGTAAGTGGTAAGTCTAAGTCAGACAAACCAAGTGACATTGAGAAAATATTGATTGTCGTTGACAGTCTGTGTAATGAATGGGAAGAATTTTTGTGTTTGTGCTTGCTTGGTTAAGATACAATTGAATACCGTCGGTTAGTGAACTGACAAATGCCCCGAGGAGCCGTAGGGAATGCGGGATGCCGTGGTCCGTGGAACTACGATGCCTGGGAGGATTCTGCCCCGGATGCCTCGGAAGTTTGATCGGGATGCCGTGGTCAGTGGATCACGAAGCCTGCGAGGCCGTTGAGATTTACGGCGTACACCACGGCAGACTGGAGGGCGCACCGGATCCTGCCAGATGGGAGTTTTCCTCCTTGTGTGACCGGCAAGTGCACCAGGCATGTAACTTGGAGTTGAGAATTAAAGTATAAGTGAAAAGATGAATTGTGTGTGTTCATATGTCTTGAAAGATTGCATGTGATATTGAATTATATCATGATACTCATGATTGAGGTCAGTTCTTCTAGCGATTGATAGTCTGGTTGAAATGTTGAACGTAGTTTACGTATGCATGACCTGATTCGTATTGCTTGGTGAGTTATTCGTTTAGTATAGCGTGATTGATATTTCATTGCTGAGCTATCACTCACTCTTGTGGATATTACAATTTTTTTTTTCAGATTAGTAAATATGAGCTTTCCCCCACCTGCTGTTCTTGTCACCTTTTTTGGCTCTCCTATTGAATTCGAGGGCCGACTCATCCCATTCAACGACCTGGAGTTCCCAATAGTCCGACTGGTCCGATATGAGGCTACCTTATGGGTGGATGTGGGACTACCCAACCACAAGGTGCCCATCAGGCTGGTTTCGGTCTTCATTGACATTGGCGGCAATTTAGTGGGACCACTCAGATATCCGGTGAATGGTGATGGTGGCAGCAACGGAGGTAACTGAAGGGGCAAGCGTGGCTGAGCAGGTCGGCGGGAGTTGACGGTGGGAACCATTTTTGAGGCATGACTAGTCAGTTTTTGTGGGGTATAGAGTCATGCTAGTTGGGTGACACCTTTTGACTTATGTTATAGGCAAGACGAGTAAGTGATCCGTTAGGACATAGTTTAGGGATAGAATCCCAAGTCGATCTTCGCCCTATACATCACCCAACGTTATAAATAAAGAAAGACGAGTTTCCTAGAAAGCGTTGTCATTCCTATATTTACTATTTCTGTACTAATCAATCAAATAGCTTGGATTGAATGGGCATTAGATAGGGTACAAATGGTTAAAAATTTAGTTAACAGGTATTTGTACTACGCAAATGATTCGGATGAGTATTAAGGAAAGAAGGTCTTGTCAGGATTGATATAATAAGAAGTTTAGGCTTGATTAGTTTCTATGGAAATTTATCTTATATTAAAACCATGTTATAAATGCTGAACTAAAAAGAATAATAATTTCCGCTGGGATATTAACAAAATAAATTTAGTAAGTGATGTGAATAGTATTAGTAAGGGGCAAGCCTAGGATGTTACAAAAACTGCCTTTCTTAATGGGAATTTAGAGGAAGAAGTTTATATGGACCAACCCAAAGGCTTTTCAGTTAAAGGAAAGGAACACATGGTGTGTAAGTTAAAGAAGTCAATATATGGACCTAAACAAGCTTCCCGACAATGGTATCTTAAGTTTAATGATACCATAACTTCTTTTGGATTTAAGAAAAACACTGTTGATCGGTATATATACATGAAGGTCAGTGGGAGCAAGTTTATTTTTCTAGTTTTGTATGTTGATGACCTTTTGCTTGCTACTAATGATCTTGGTTTGTTACATGAAACCAAGAAATTTATATCAAAAATTTTTGAAATGAAAGATATGGGAGAGGCAACGTATGTGATAGGAATAGAAATATTCCGTGATAGATCACAAGGATTGTTAGGGTTGTCTCAGAAAGCCTATATTGATAAAATTTTAGAGAGATTTAATATGGATAAATGTTCAGCAGGAGCAGTTCCAATTCAGAAAGGTGACAAATTTGGTCTTATGCAATGTTCGAAAAGTGAATTGGAACAAGAACAAATGAAAAGTATTCCATATGCACCTGTTGTCGGAAGCTTAATGTATGCACAAACTTGCACCAGACCAGACATTAGTTTTGTTGTCAGAATGCTGGGCAGATATCAAAGTAACCCAAGATTAGATCATTGGAAAGCTGCAAAGAAAGTTCTCAGATACTTGCAAGGAACGAAGAATCACATGCTCACTTATAAAAGATCTGATCATCTTAAGGTGATTGGATATTCAGATTCAAACTTAGCCGGATGTACTGATACAAGAAAATAAACTTTTGGTTACTTGTATCTTTTGGCTAGAGGCGCAATTTCATGGAAAAGTGCAAAGCAGTCAGTTATTGCTATATCTACTATGGAGGCTGAGTTTGTGGCATGCTTTGAGGCCACTATTCATGGGTTATGGCTGCGAAACTTTATGTCAGGGCTTATGATTGTCGATAATATTGCCAGACCGCTGAAAATTTATTGTGATAACTTTGCAGCAGTTTTCTTCTCTAAGAATGACAAGTACGCCAAGGGTGCTAAACATATGGAGATTAAATACTTGTATGTTAAAGAAGAAGTTCAGAAACAAAGAATGTCAATTGAGCACATTAGCACCAACCTTATGATTGCAGATCTCTTAACAAAAGGACTGCCGCCTAAAATATTTAAAGAACATGTTGAAAGGATGGGTATTATTGGATGTCATTAATGATTAAATTATGAGTGCATTAAGTTTATTTATTTGACACTATGAGCTCAATTATGTGTTTCTGATTCCTGTTTTCTATTTGGTATACGTGATGGAAATAGATGAATGTGTATGACGTCTCTAGAGACATTATGGTTGGACCATTACGATACTTCTCATTTGTGGATCATATTAAGTAAAGAGCTATAGTTGTAGTACATGGAAGGGACTATGGCGCGTTTGTTCAAGAAAGCCCCTTCCCAAAATTATGGTTGGCGACCATTACTTTCGAACCAAATGCCAAATCATTTTTATACTTCCCAAACTAACCTCACTGTGGACTCAGGCAAGGGCCGCGGCGGTCCGAGGCGCGCCCAGCGACGGCCGCGGTTAGCGACGCGGCGGCCGCTGGGGTACCCGCGCTCGGCCGGGTCGCGACCCAGCGGCCGTCGGCCGGGCGCGACCCGGGGTCCGGCGGGTCGCGCGACCAGCGCCGCGGCGGGTCGCGCGACCCAGCGCGGGCTGGGTCGCGCGACCCGCGGCCGCGCGGATCGCGGCAGGGGTATAGCCTCGTCGCCGAGGTCGGCGTCCTCGCCGGGTCGCTTGCGACGGCGACGGCCCTTTCGCCGGAGCGTAGCCCTTCTCCGGAAGGGTATTTTGCCTTTTTAAAAAACCCTCAAAGCCCATTTGTAAAAAAATTAACCAAACACCACTTGGGTCAAAATAGCTTTGCAAATGAGTTTTTACCAAACGCCATTTGCATTTTTCCTAAAGGGCTTCCACCCAAAGGCATTTGCATTCCCAAAGTAGCATTCCAAATGCTGTACCAAACGCACCCTATGTCGATTAATGGCATACAATCGCTATGACTCGCATTAGTTTCTTTATTTAACTGTGATCATTATGACATAGCCAATTTAAGAAAAGTTTTAGCATAATGTTATTGTGCACATTATGGTCTTTATTAAACCATGAAAGGAAGGTCATATGGGCCAAGCGGGAGAATGTAAGAATAATGTGGCTCACATGATGTTATGAATAATGGTTTAATAAATATTTAAGTGCTAAAACATATTGGCTATGAAAAATAGATGAAAATGTGTAATTCTATTGAGAAGTTACAGTTCCTCCGAAGAGGTGCGACTCTTATGAAGTGGGATATGCTTTGATGGAAGGCACCAGTTAAAGAGGTATATATAAATAGAGTTTGGTCCTCTCTCCACCCACGATAATGCAAGAAAAGAACGTTATATTTTTTTATCCTCCATCGATAAGATACATTAAGCGAAAAGTGGGTTAAGGGAGAGAAATCAGATTTCTTTGTTTCTTCCGTTTTCTGCAACAATTATCTTCAAGGGAAACGCTATGGATAAAGGTATGTCTTCATCCCTTTTATTGTGAAAATCATGAAGATCTAATATCCTAGATTTCATAAATTTTCCGCATAAACGGATTACGTTATCACTTACAACACATTCATTTCAAATGCAATTCTGGGTCTCTCCCCTTTTGCCATTTTAGCAAAGCGGTTTGGTCGCTTGAATGCTTCTAAATGCAAATGCAAGCCACAGAGAACAAGAAGAAGAAAGAAGAAGCCAAAACCAAAGAATAGCCCATAACTGAAAGCCATAATGTCACTTGAATTTCGCAATCTGGCAACCCTTGTCCCATGCATGCCGACAGGTGTTGCAATACATCCCTCCTTTTGTCTCCCTATGTCTGACATTCATTTACTGTGGAACCATCTCTTTCTTTGTTCATGAAACTTAAGAGCTACCTTTCTGTTGATTTTGCATCTCTGTCTGTCTCTCTCTTCTTCGTATTGAAGGTCTCTCTCACGTCTATCTTTCCATCCATCTCTCTCTCTCTCTCTGATCTCTATAATCAGTCCAGAGAAGATCAAGATAGCCCGCGAGAGAGACACAGAGAGATAACATAAAAGAAATGGCAAATTTTGATCTGATGCCATTCTTGGCCATGGTGATCGTGCAAGTGGGATACGCAGGAATGAGCTTCATATCGAAGCTGGCCATGGACGACGGAATGAACCCTTTTGTGCTCATCACCTATCGCCAAATCATTGCCACCGTTGCGACCGCCCCTTTCGCTTTCTTCTTGGAGAGGTATACAATTAAAATTACCAAGCAACTCCATTTCGATGATCGTCAACTCGAATGGCTTTCTCTAGGGGGAAGATAAAGGACTCGGGTTTGTGTGAAAAATGATGTTCTTTTCATTCCTTTTTTACATGACTGCGTGCTGCATTGCTTTTCGGGTGATGATGGTTAGTCAACTTTGGTTGGGGATAACGATTAGGGTTCATTGGTCATGCATGTTTCTTGGTTCACAAGAACTATCATGTGATGTGAGGTTAGGCACGCTCTCTGGATTGAGTTTTAACTTCTGCTCAAGCTTGATCACAGCATAGATGAGAGCTTTGAGTGAGGTCAAAACCACAAGCAAAGCGAAGCTAAGAGGCTGTAGCATGAGGTCATTTAAGGAGCAGTGAAGGAGTTCTTGACCCATTTTATTTTTTGTTTGGCCAAGATTGCTGACTTGTTGAAACGGCTAATTAAGGTGGCCATGCATGGGTGCCACGTCGCATCGCACTTTAGGGGAGGGGTAGGTGTGGGACTCGCGTTCTAAATAACGTGCGACAAAAACAGTTATGATGCAAAAAATGTAAATTACTTTTTTATGTCTATTTGAAACAGAAAATTGTCTCTTACAACGAATTGTAGATTTCTTATACTTGAAAACCAATAATGTAAAATTGAAATGATTATAGATTTCCTAGATTTGGCAACTAATATACCAATGGAGACCATCTAACCTTGTGAAAATTTTGTTCACCACTTATGCATAAGTGGTTTGTCTTGGTAATGAAGCACCCAATTGGACAAACTCACCCGAATCAAATCTCTAAGGGCTTAGGCAATCTATCTTTTTTTCAAAAAAGGGTTTTCTCAAAATTAAAAAAATGGTGTTCACTTACTCGAGTTTCATTTTAAATATGTTATGTAACATCATTAAGAAATGAAATAAACGGGTGCATATATTGGAGGAAAAATGGACTAACAAAGTGAATATCTGAAAATAGAAAAATCGAAGAATTTCTCCTGGACCAGATGCATGTGTATATGTTAGGCTTCTTTCCTTAAACAAAAGAGTTGCGAAAGTAGCAATATGGCTTTATCGTAGAATTAGTGCTACCAGGAGAGACATATCCAGGTTTTTTCAATACATAAGAAGTTTCTCTTCTTTGGCAAATTGAATACATGAGTACCCTTACACTGATTATCATACCATAGTTGAATTTTGACTTCGAGGTTATTTATTATTCTTAATTATTTTCCATCGCAGGAAGACAAGACCGAAGATTACAGTGCCAATCCTGTTCCATATTTTTTTAAGTTCCCTTACTGGGTAAGTAAGCCTCCATCTCTCGATCTTGCATTGATTTGGAATTAATTAGGTTGTTGCCATTCTATTCTCAGTCGTATGCTAGGAATCACAAATGCAAATCCAGAAAAACAATGTTTTGATGCACATAAAATTATGCTCTTCTCCGCACCTTAAGAATCGAAAGAAAAAAAGAAAGATTTTCATGGAATTGATAGTTGAACCAAATTGTGCAGGGCTTTCATGAGCCAAGTTTTCTTTTTTCTTGGCCTGGACAATTCGAGTCCCATAATCACAGGAGCAATGACCAATACCCTCCCCGCCATGACATTTGTGTTCGCCCTGATCTTCAAGTACTGTATATTTTCATCCTTAATCTATTTGTTTGAACCCGTTAGAAACTACTAAGCAAAATGCAATTGCATAATCAATGAATGTTTTTGGATAGACAAGAATCATTCAGTATCAAGACAAAGGCGGGGCGAGCGAAAGTGGTTGGAACATTGCTATGCGTGGGTGGAGCGATGCTGCTCTCGTTTTACCATGGGCACACCATTGCAGGTAGTAACTCTGGTATTAATTGGAACTATGCAGAGAAAATGACAGATAAACGCTCAACCCATAAAAGCCACTCCATCTTGGGACCTTGCCTTCTCTTTTGTAGCTCTTCTAGCTGGGCTCTTTGGTTCATCATCCAAGTAAATGAAACATTTCCTTTTCTTGCTTTTACAATTATTTTCTATATCTCTCTTTTGTGGGGACAAACTTATATCGAAGAGGAAGTTTGAGAGTTCACTTCAATCTCCTGATGCTTGTTTGTAACAAATTCAGGCGAAATTGAGCCCTACATTTCCAGCTCCTTACACTACCACAACACTAATGTGTCTCATGGCTAGCATCGAATGTTCAATCGTTGGTGCTGCTACTGAATGCAATGCTGTTGCCTGGTCTTTGAGATCCATGATCCGGCTCATCACAGTTTTCTATGCGGTACATATCCTAGACTTTAATGAACTTCAACAAATAGTAGAGTTGGCTTATTGTGGCTCTTGGTGCATCAATAGTATGGGAAATGTTTTGCACAAAGGTAGGGTTGATGGTTTTTCAATTTCAGGGTATTGTGAGTTCAGCGCTCGTGTTCTGCATTATGTCCTGGTGTGTCCACAGAAAAGGCCCGCTCTATACCTCCGTCTTTAGCCCTTTGTTGCTCGTCATGTCGACCCTCCTGAGCTGGGCACTTCTTGGCGAGAAACTATATGTTGGAACGTACGTATCCGTTTTATGGTAATGTTAGGTTAAGATATATAAAATGTGAAGCTGCACAATTTTTGAGGACCGTCTACAAATTGGCAATGATGCATTCACCGAGATTTCAGTGTTTCCTTTTGAATTTCAGATTGGTAGGGGCTGTGCTCGTCATTGTCGGGCTCTACCTTGTTTTGTGGGGCAAGGGCAAGGAAGCAGAGCGAGCAAGAATCACTAATGAGGTGGAAGCAGCAGCCGAGTACTGCGAGAAAGAAGACTCAGAGTTGCAGCTTCAACCTCACGCAAACTGCAAAAGTCGGCAGTATCCAAATTGATGCTCATGAGTTGCTTAAATGACAATTCGATCCTATTCGAGTTCTTGGGTCGTGTATTCCCCAAATTCCATTCGATTGTACATGTTGACACCTCAAGAATTAGATCTCCAGGCAATAATCGGAGAGCGGTCCTTCATTGGAAGCCATTTACTTGAAAGACACCCGTTTGAGATCTCTCATCTCTGTGCATAATTAGCAGGATATCAAATTGTATTACATTATGCTTGTAACATGAATTGGTCTGACCAGGCTAGTGGGCCTCAACGTGCGGGCTCGAGCCTAAGCAAGGAAAATGCTTGTCCAAGGCGGCCAAAATCATGCATCATGCTTGAGCTCCCAATAAGTCCTCAAGCTCGCAATAGTATAGGATCAGGTTAAAGTCTCTTAAAAATCGAATAAATAACTTTAAGTATAGGACCTCTAATGATTGCTCTCTCTGAATCCCAATGGCGCAACATTCACTCAAGGAGAGGAAACCATCAAATAAGCGGTCACCGGTTTGTAAGAAGTCGAATAGAAATGACAACTACTATAGCGGTCATGTACGTCGTCTCTGAGATTGGGGTGATCGAAATATACTCTGTCAAAGTCAGTTCCCTTTCAAACCGGCATGGAACCAATTCGGCCGGCTCCTCCAGGATCGACTTTGGAATCGGGCCTGACTTCAAGTAATCTTACTATTAATTTTGGAAAAGAGGTCATGCGAACAATCCGTAGCATAATGGTTAAGGTATTGACGTATTTCCTAAGTTTTCATATTCAAAACCCATCTCCAACAATATATATCATTTCTTTAAACAAAGAGAGAAAAGAAAAAAAAAATAAAAGTCGGTTCTACACGATAAAGGCCAATTATCAGGGAGAAAGGTTCACGACTCGACCCAAGATGTTTCTCAATAGATTTTTCTTGCTTCCTAATTGAACGCTGATTTTAGTTTCGTGCTCAGCATTCATCATAGGAAGTCCATCTATCTAATCTCGTGGGACTTGCAGCAAACTTTTCAGATGTTCGCATTTTTCTTTTACAAGAGCAAAAGAGCACATCATGTGGGCCTATGAAAAGGAAAAGAGATGTTTTAATTGGAGAGAGAATATGTTTGGAGACATAGCTTTTGGAAATAAATTCAATGATTAATACCAAAAAAAATACCAAATTGATACACATGTAATAAATTTACCTCAAATTAATTTTTTGACTAGGTACACCTGTGACAATTTTAGCCTCCATTAGTTTCCGTTAAATTTTACCTTCAAATTTTTGAGTTGGATGACACGGGACAGTTGAGGGAGGGGCGTACCGATTTAGGGTTTTACCCTCCGTTTATCACAGATGTACCAGTTTGTGATTTTTCGTGATATTAATTCAATTTAACGAAGGGTAAATTTGTCACAAATGTACCAATTTTTAGTTTTTGGTAATCAAAAAATTAGTTTTGAGTAAATTTATCGTAAGTGTACTAATTTGAGATTTTTTGTGGTGTTAACCCTAAATTCAAATGGCGATAAAATGAAAGAAATTTAAGTTTGATTTGACATATAAGGTATTTCTTGTGTCGAGATAGTTGATAAATTCAAATGTGTTTGTCCTAAACAGAGAAGTTGACTTAAATGTTTGAACTAATACATACAAGTCCTTTTTTTTTCCTTTTTCACAATTCTCTTTTTCTGATGATGAAAAAGCAGTAATTTTGCAAAAAGATATATTGGCTGTGTCTTCAGCATTCACTCCTCCAGCATTTCCTGGGCTTAGTTTTGCTTTACATGCTTCTTTACTTGCTAAAAATTAATACCAATCTCAATTTTATTGACTATTTGTGATCAAAATTGGAAAAAAAAAATGAAAATTGCACAACTGGAATGTAATTCATTTCTCAATGATGTTTCTTTCAAAAAAATTTCCCTTTTTCGCTAAGACAAATATCAATATAACTTCTTGATTTAAATACGCACACAAATACCACCCAACCAACAACCAAAATGGCCTCATCTTCTTTTCCACCTCCTGTAACTGTTCTTACATCATCACTCTTCATCTTCTTTTTTATACCTGCTTGCATTACAGTTTCTCCAGATGTAATACTTGAAATTTGCAACAAGACGAAAGATCCTGAATTCTGTATGATGCTCTTTTTGAGTGATATGGGCACTAAATTGGTGGATAATCCTTTTCTTTCGCTCATCTCCATCGAATTGACAGTGAAAGAGACCAGTGCCATTTACTGCTCAAATTTACAATTGGACTTTGGATCTATAGGAGAGAAAAGGTGCCGGAATCTGCGTTGTACTAGCAGATTAAAGACAATTTGAGCAAGTGTCACCAATTATCGACGGTGTTAGGATTCGGCGCATAATCACAAGGAAATAGAGAGTAAAAGGGGGAAAAGTAAATTGAGACACGAGGTTTTTATCCTGATTCACCTTTAAACTAAGGTTACATTAACCAGAAGATTTCCCCGTGCCTTCTTGTTGAAGGAAAGTATGAACCACACCTCAACGGGAAGAACTAAAATTCCATCTCCAACGTATATGTCATTTCGTTAAACAAAGAGAGAAAAGAGAAAAAACTAGAAATTGGTTCTACACGGTAAAGGCCAGTTATGCGCAAGAACCGGTTCACGACTCTACCCAAAATGTTTCTCAATGGATTTTTCTTCCTTCCTAATTGAAGCTGATTTTAGTTTTCATGTTTCATCATTGGAAGTCCATCTATCTAATTGTCATCTTCCTTTGTTTTTTTTTTTTTTTCAGATGTTTGCATTATCTTTTACACGAGCGAAAGAGCACATCGTGTGCGTCTAAGAAAAAGAAAAGAGATGTTTAACTGGAGAGAGAATATGTTTGCAGACTTAGCCTTGGAAATCAATTCAAATGGCGATAAAATGAAAGAAATTTAAGCTTAATTTTGAAATGTGAGGCATTTCTTGTTTGGAGGTGGTTCATATTAATTATTATGGTCGCTCAAATTATGATTTCTGTCTTTTTTTGTTAGAAGTGTCGTCGCAAGAATGAAAATTCGAGGGTAAAGTTTGAGCTTGAAAAATGTCCATGTGTTTATTTAGCATGTTGTATATAAATAAATAAATTGCCTAATTTTTTTTATAACATAGTACTTCAATTGCTTAGTTGTGTGAATCCTAAAGGCCTTTTTTGGTTACCGAGAATAGATAGTCGAATGAAAATGAGATCCCAATAGTGACATATAGCCAGGCATCTATTGACAACTTTCTATGAGAAGAAAATGGGAAGTGGTAAATGCATTTTATAAGCATGTAATATGCTTAGCTTTTTAATAATCTACAAAAATAATAAGTCCAAAAAATAATGAACACGATTTTAGAGATGCATGATTCACTATTTGCACACGTTAATGCTCTCTAAATGGGTAGGAGAAAATCTTACCAAAATTGGAAAAGTTCGACACCACCATCCATGGACATGCTTGTACCTGTGAATTGGGGCACCGCCTAAAATGTAGAAACTCTAAAAGTTGCACCAAAGTGTACTGAACTTATTGAACGTTAATAGAAGTTTAATGGGATTATTATTGGTACAATCCGATTATTTTCTTCAATTTCATTTGTGTTCTCTAAGTACGAATTATCACTTTCTTCGCCTCTATATTTTCTCTTCGCTCTCTCCCTCTCGTATTCTTGCTTCCAGTACAAAACACAAGCGAAAAGTTGAAAGGGAAAGAGCAGTAAAAAGCTACATTTTACAATCGATTGTGTTAACATGGCGGGTTTTGCAGATCTTAGATAACCTCCATCGTAAGAAACTCTCGAAAACGGATCCTCAAAACTACTGGGCAGGCATCAGCCCCCATACACGGTCTTATGACTTTGCGCGGAGACCTGTTTTTTTGGTAGACAGTCGCCCGGACCTAGTCACTGTGATCGCCTCAATTCCTATTCTTATTCCTTACTCACGTTTCCTTTCGTCTCTCCTAAACCAAACTCGGACATGAGATATCGATCTCCAGGGACAGATGGATTAGGAGGAAGAGTAATCGTGAACCGTAACCATGGATGGGACTTTGAATTGCGACTTGGGGTTCGGTGAACTTTGTTTTTTAGCCAGGTTTTGAGAGGCCCGATGAGGAGGCTGTTTCATTAACGACGCGCCAGAATCCCAAATGTAGTAATTACAAGGTTCGATTACTTAGTTAAGAGGAGTTTTGCCTTTTTCGAAATCTGGAGCAGATGGATGTTTAAGCGAACCGTGTAGGGTGGAGGTTCTTTTCTTTGGCCAACCAAGGTAGGTATCGGTTCAAGACTTCAAATTTGTACACCCTCTTCTGGATTTGTGAACATTTAGAAAACACCTTTACTTTTGTTTTTTTTGCAAGCATAATATTAAGATGAATAGCATCAAAAACCCGAACCGGTGCCATATAACATGTTTAATGTTTATCCCATACTGATTTTTGTCTCACAAAAGATTCCAAACCGGTACCCCGTGATACATTGCCAAACAAACTTTTGTCGTACGAAAAATTCCAAACCAACACCCTAACCCAAATCTACGATCCGTCAGCAGAACGTGCGTTTTATCACCTAAGCCTTTTTTGTAAACGTGGCATGAAGGTGCCGGTTTACAACTTTTAATGGTAATAATCCTAATAAATAAGCTCTCTTGATATTTTATTTCCAAATATCTCGTCCATATAGGAGTTGTGGTTTTTTCATCCCCATTACAACTGCATTGAGCTAAATTGACCACTAATCATGTGAGTTAATGACCAGGAACCTGATTTATGTCATAATCGAAAAACTTAAAGCAAATCAAAGATGGAAAGCCGCTAATTATTTCCTTCATATAAATGAACTTATACATGCTGACACGGGTCCAACACTTGTTGCAAATTAAATTAATGGCCGATTCACGTGAATCTCGCTCCGAGAGAGATCACCATGAACCCACTATTTTCCATGAATAAAAAAAGATGCTTATCATCAGCCTATCTAAGCTATGTGCAATGACGAAGCATGCATGAAAATGGCACGAGGAAAAGAAGCAAATTTTGGGGGGTCTCTCCTCGTTTTTTGCCATACCTTGCTACGCACTCAAGCTTTGTTTCGTGTTGCTTGAAGGCTTGAAAATGTGAGGAGCCAGAGAGAGAGAGGAGGAGAAAGATGACAAAAAATGGAAAAAGAGCGAGTGCGCTCATGCTGATGAATGAATTTGGTACATATTAAATGATGTAACGAACTATTATTGGGAGTATGATATGAATGATTGTTTGGCGGTCTAATTACAATTGATCGTGTAACTTAGTATATCAATTTTTCATGATACTGATCGTTAATATGACGAAGGAAATTATAACTGAAAGGCACAATAGCTTTTAGTAGGTAACAGTGGCAGTCCTTGTCCCATGCATGCGCCCAAGTGTTGCAAGTCATCTCTCTCTCTCTCCGAGATGCACACGATTTGATGAATTCATTACGGAACCATCTCTCTTTTTCCCATGAAAAACAAAGAGCTAGCTTTCTGTTGCATTTGCATCTTCTCTTTCTCCCTCTCTCCCTCCCCTTTATATTGAAGCTCTCTCTTGCATCTCTTTGCAACCTCTCTCTCTCTCTCTCAAATCTGTCCGAAGAAGAATAGAGAAAACCAGAATAAACCAAAGAAAATGGCAAGTGTAGATTTCGTGCCCTTCCTGGCCATGGTGATCGTGCAAGTGGGTTATGCGGGAATGAACATCACGTCGAAGCTCGCCATGGATAGCGGGATGAACCCTTTCGTGCTAGTCACCTATCGCCAGATCTTCGCCACCCTTGCCACCTTCCCTTTTGCTCATTTCATGGAGAGGTATCTCTTCAAACAACTCCATCAAGAAAAACTCTTTTTTTTTTTTAATCTTCAATGCATATGGCTTCTTTTGTGGTGAAAAGACAAATAAACTCTTGGCTTGCTAGGATTTTTTTTTATTTTATGCCGAATTGGCTTGCTAGGATGATTCAGTCAACTTTAGCCATAGTTTCTCGAGTGTTCATTTAGGTCATGCCAGTGTTCTATTCGGGGTCGCCAAGACTAATGAAAGTGTCGCACATTCTCTAGGGAGAGAGCTTCTAGCTTCTAGCTTCGAACTCAAATTGATCAAATAATGTTAATCGTGCTTTGTCCACTGACCCCCAAACAAGGAAAGGTTGATCGTGCTCTTGCGGTCAAATGAGCGTTGAGATAAAGAAAAAAAAGTGTTTGTCCTTTAAACTGATGATGGCATGGTTGTTTGCAAATAATTATAATTATAATTATAATAATGACTAATGAATAAAAAATGGTAGCGTTGAAGAAGGAATAGAGAGAATATTTTGGTTAATTTAAATGGATCTGCAAATATTTAAGTAGGCTACTCTTTTTTTCCTCTCACTGATTAGGTGTAAGCTGTAAAGCTTGAACGGGGCGGAAACCCTAAGCAAGCAAAGTTAATTAGAGGCCTAATTACTGACCCCATTGAAACGGCTGGATTAGGCGGGCCTGCATGGCTGCCACGTCACCTCCCAGTTTACGAGGAAATTTTTTGTCCAGGCTTGCATTATGCTGTGTAGGACAAGATCAATATGAGTGCGATTGTTGACAAAAGTTTCGCTCATATAATAACTATAGATTTCTAAGAAAATTGAAGAACAATACCCCGGTCGAAATGACTTTAAGCTTCCTATAATTTTAAAGGCAATATATATCAATTGAAACCATTCACGTTTGCGAGAATTTTGTCACCTTTTTGTCCAAATGAGTTTTCTTGAAAATCGAAAAAACGAGGGTAGTGTTTGATTTTTCAAAATTTTAATTTGATTTAAATTATCTACCATATATTAAAAGGATGAAGAACAATTGTGGCTTGGCAAATTGAATGAATGGTTCTGAGGGTATTCACATTCCTAACGGTCCATTACAGGAAGACAAGACCCAAAATCACAGTCCCAATCTTGCTCCAAATCTTTCTATGTTCTATCACCGGGTGAGTAAGCTGACTCTTGAATCTTGATTTTGCATTGATACTTATTGAGATAATAACCCAAATGATCTTAGAACTTTGGCCCAATGTGCAATCTAGTCCTTGAACTTTTAATTTGTTCAATGCGATACCTGAACTTTAACACAATATGCAATATGGTCCCTGAACTTTTGATTTGTTCATAGTTTGAACATTTACAAAAAGTTCAGATACCATATCGAACAAATTAAAATTTGAATAACCACATTAAATATTGAGTCAAAGTTTAAGAACCATTTGTGTCGTTTTTCCATTCTTATTTGGAGTTACATAAGCTGCGGTTCCACAAAAAATGTGCAGGGCGTTCATGAACCAAGTGTTCTATTTCATCGGCTTGAACAATTCCACGCCCACAATCGCGTGCGCGCTGGGAAATATCCTCCCGGCCGTGACATTTGTGTTCGCGCTGATCTTCAGGTGCCTTTGATAGTGCTACTTCATTCCATCCCTTCTTGTTTGTTTACTTCGACAACGATATTCATTATTTTTTTCCTTAACTTAGTTGTTCGAATGCTGCATTATGAACTACTAGTCCATATGCAATCCGTATTCAACAATCTGTTCACATTTTTCGTGATTTGTCTATAGACAAGAATCGCTTGGAATCAAGTCGAAGGCAGGGCAGGTGAAAGTGATCGGGACGCTTGTTAGTGTTGGCGGAGCGATGCTACTTTCCTTTTACCATGGACCCTATATCGGGATCGGTCACTCGAGGATTCATTGGACATATGCAGAGAGAATGACAGACAAACACCCTACCAACAAAAGCAACTTCTTGTTGGGACCAGTTCTTCTCTTCACTAGCTCTGCTGCCTGGGCACTGTGGTTCATCATCCAAGTGAGGGATACATTCATTTCATTTTCATCACCAATTTATTTTATGCAGTCGTTCTTATCATGAGTTCATGAAAGGAACTAATTCATGTCCAAAGTTGCTAAAACAAGTGCTGCACTTCACTTATCAAAAATCAATTTGGGTGTTGAGCATTGCCATCGAAGAAAGAGTTAGAGAGTTCAATTTTCTAATGCGTGTTTTGTGGTGCGTTTAGGCGAAACTGAGTACTAAGTTTCCAGCTCCTTACACTACCACAACATTAATGTCTCTCATGGCCAGCATCGAGTGTGCAGTCGTTGGTGTAGCTGTTGAACACCGTGTCGCTGCATGGTCGTTGGGATCTGGAATCCGGCTAATCTCAGCTATTTATGCGGTAAAGTGTCGTGGACATTAAACGAACCATTAGCAAATAATGGAGAGTTATCGTTTAGCTTTTATGCAACACTGATTTATTAGAAATTTCGTGCACAAACGTAATGCTAATTGGAATTTATATTCAGGGTTGCATATGTTCGGCCCTGGCATTTTGTGTTATGTCCTGGTGCATCGAAAGAAAGGGTCCTCTATACACCGCGGTCTTCAGCCCTTTGTTGCTAGTAATCACGGCCATCCTGAGCTGGGCACTTCTTCAAGAGAAATTGTCTGTCGGAACGTATGTATTTGACACTGCTACGGTTTTGGCTTTCCCAATCCATTTGATGCTAGGACTGTCTACAATTTTCAAAGAAGCATTCAGTGAGAGTTCTTCATTTCTTCGTGTCTTTTGATTTCAGATTGGTGGGGTCTACATTGATCATTGCTGGGCTCTACTCTGTCCTATGGGGAAAGGATAAAGAGGCAAAACAAGCAAAGATCGCTGAGGAGATGGAAGCAGCAGTGAAGTGTGGAGAGAAAGAAGACTTGGAGATGCAGCTTCAGGAACACAGAAACGGCAGCAACGTTCAATATGATCACAATTGAGTATTATCCATACAAGAAGACATCCAATTTTTTTTTTGTATGTTTTGGTCGAAGAAGACCATACAATTTAACTTTCTCGTTTGTGTACCAACAAAGTTTTGCTGCTGTTTCGCTAGTTCTCAGGCATCTGATCATGTTTATGCATCTTCTGCTTCTTTTTAGGTTCCAAGTCTCTGTCAAGCTTAGCTCTTATGCAAACCCAAGGAGCTTTATATATGTATCTTGCATGAAGAAATAGCCCGCTATAAAATTTATGAAAGAATCAACTCTAGTTGCTGCAATGTGCTTTTCACTTCTAAAACCACTCCAAGCTCTTCCATTTCTGATTACTCTCGTGATCAATGACAATCACTCACTAGTCACTAGAAGGTCTTACAGATCATATAGATCCCAATGTCATTTGGCAAGTAAATGCCAATCAGGATTTGCGTCAGACTGAACAGCAGATGAGACTTCACAAAGCAGTGCGATCAAAACACCTTTCCAAATGCAGAATCAAACTTTTCTTTAGTTTTCAGCAATAGACAAGATGATACAATTAACCCCCCAGGTGCCAAATTAGGACTATTCGAATAAGAATAGGTTTGATACAACTTGCAAAGCCCACCATATGGAAAAATATAGCTAACAAATGAAAAGAATAAGAAACCGAAATATCTCCAATAAAGGAGCAAAATGCTTCTGAATACTTTCCCAAGCCAAAAAGCAAAAACAATACTGAATACTTTCCCCTTTTTGGATGGTTTTTCCTAGAATATCCAATCTGCAGATAAACTAAAGGCAAAAGCAGCGAAACCTCTGAAAGTAATCTTTCATCAATGAGGGAATTATTATGCTTGAAAAGTTACGAGGATGTCTGCGTTTGACTACTGTCTGAGAACTCTGTTTGAGCTGAAGAAACAACTTTCTTCACCAGCAACGGTAGAGTGCAACCTTCCACCAGCCCAACCGTTATTCAACGGTCGTGCAGCAACACGAGCCGGATCACCGGTGACCCGGCTTCCATCGATTTGCTGTTCGTATTCAGAGAGACCTTTTGCCCTCCTCTCTTTCCTTCTCTGCCGTTCTTCATCTCTTTCTCTCCTCAGCCAACTTTCAACTGTCCTCTGCAAAGATAGTTGTCATGATAAATCAAACATCTATGTTGACCAAGTTAAGTTAAAAAAACACGACAAAACTTTGAAAGGAAAAGTTACCATCAGAGACAGTTTGCTAATCTCCTTAACCTTATCAATCGGCATTGCTAACTGCAACTTTCCATGAGCCACATACACCTGAGTAAAAGGAGAGATAAATTCGCTTTGATGCGGAATTGCCATACAAACATTTATAGTTTATCCCAGCACTGATATAGAAAAAGCGAAATGATAGTGGAGAAGTAGATAAGTACATACAATATGTGTGGGCCAATCATCTAGGCCATCAAAAATATGGGTGGCATAGATAATTGTGGAACCTCTCTGTTCACATTCCTTTCTGAGAAACTTCAAAAGATCAGCCCTTGCTAACACATCGAGGTCCACTGTTATCTCATCAAGAAGAAGCACCTACTTTTGGAAGGATGTAATCCATAAGTACCCAAAAGGCCACAACTTGCAAAAGTAAACAAGAATTTCCAAAATCCAAAACTGTAATAACAGGGCATCATCTTTAAACATAAAAACAATTCAGGCTCCATGCTTGCATGAATTAAAAGGTGCAGGCACCTTGAATGGTTTGAGGAGTCCCATACAGATTTGCACTCGCCTTCTCTGTCCATCAGAAACCTTATGCATTCTCCAGGATAAATCAATGTCTAGCACCTAAACAATCAAATGACCAAGTCATCTCCTTTCTATTATATAATAAAAAACATAGCATACATACTTTTTGCTTAAGCTTTATTAATGTCCAGGATATACATTTGGCATATACTTTAAAATTCAGCATTTCTTTTTGAAAAAAAAAAAAGATCTGTTTTTGAATCATTTTATGTCCATAAAGTTATTGTTTCACCTTGATTAGCTCAGCTCTTCTTTGTGGATCTATACCTGCCACCCCGAATAACATTTTCTCAGCAGAGATATCCATCTGTATAGGAACTTCAAAGCCCGCAAAAGCAACTTCTCGTCTCCACTGTGGAACGAAAAAGGAAAAAAGGGAACAAGAAACAATTATATCAGGAATTGTATAGTTTACTGGAGAAGGAAAATAATCACATCATAATTAATCTCTCCCGCTAATCACCAATCGCAGAATGCAAAGCTATAGCATACAACTTATCATAAAAGGCAGAAGAGAACAGATATTACAATCGAAAGCAACAACTTTTCAGAGTCAACGTCAGCGCAAACGCAGTCTCACAACGAAGTGTGTGGTCCAACAACAAGATCAGGAGACAAGAGAACTCACCTCTCCTCCGAGGTAACAGAGATCCCCAGAGGACGTCAATGCCGTGTCATGGAACGCCGATCTCCCGAGCACGCGGACCATGTGAGGCTCCACCATATGCTTCCCTCCTAATATCTTCAATATGGTAGTCTTACCTATCATAAGCATATCGCCGAGGACGAGCAGGCAGTGAGAATTCACACAAATGACTAAAACCCCACATCCCCACGATTCACGGTTACAAGCGCTGCTTCAAACGAGAATGTCACGCGGTTCTTGGACTCTTACATTACTGTTCTCGAACGAGAAACTGCAAGTGCCCATCATTGAATTTTGCCAAATTATACACTCTCTCCCAATTACCATTCCAAAACCCTTGCCCCAATCTTCCAATGTCCCCACGGACATTGATAGCATTCGCCAATTCACTAGTTCGTCCTGGCACCCGACAAGATCAGAAGGGACAAACCATTTTGCATGAGAATTCGTTCATTCTCCCCACCCTATTTTCATCTTAAATCAAATTACTATCTCCAACTACCGAAATTCGAATACTTTCAACCACCAAACTCAAAATTCAATACGATAAAAACAGCTTCGCCGATGGCCCAATTCAAAAGGGACACCGACCGAGATCCCACGTCTTCCCACAAGCCGAGATCGACCCGTACTTGTCCACTACTAACTAACACAGAGACACCCAGAAACAAAGAATCGGGCAGTTTGCAGTTTGCAGGAGAAGACAACGGTTTGAAGCCGACACGAACCTGCGCCGTTGGACCCGACGAGGAGACAGCGGTGGCCGGAGCCCAGGGCGAGGGAGAAGCCGTCGATGAGAGGCTTGGACCCGGGCGGAGGATGGCCGTCGATCCCCGGGTACGTGAAGCAGAGGCCGTTGATCTCCACGGTCGGCGCCATCTTCTCCTCCATAACAAGCACAACCGCCACCACCGCCGTTGGCACCGTCGGCGAGCGGTTTTAAATAGGCCCGTCGTCACCGGGTTAGGTGTGTCGGAGCGGCGGTGACGTGGCGCAGGGTCGGTCCACGGATCGGAAAAATAGAAAATTTTTGGCGGCTTTCGTGGCTAACTTCACTGCCACGGAATCCAGTTGAAGACTAATCCCGCGATTTTTGCGAGTCAAATAGTTCTAAAAATTACCCCTTAAATTTAATTGGAGACTCTACCTTCTCGTGACCTTATCGGCCACGGAGGTTGTTGAGTTCTACCCTAAGCAAATTACAGCCGTTGGTACAACGAATTATAGCTAGTGTGACTGGGGTTATAGATCGATTTCGATTCACGGGTTCTAAAGATCGAGTTATATAGTATGCGATTGCAAAACGTATATTAAAGCATCTTTAGAAACCCTTGAAATTGAATCCATTGACGATCAACTCATTATCTAATGGTCTTTTCTTTCTTTTTTTTTTTTGTATTTTTTTTATACACCCAAAAGCTTTTCTTTTTACCTAAGCTATGTATGTATAGTTTTGTAGTCCGAGCTCCTTCTCCATTTTCGCTTTAGCTTGAGCTTCCTGTGTTATCCAGAAATTAAGGGTATGCAAAAGAACTGGGAACCGCCTAGACCGCCCGAAATCGGATCGGATCGGCCTAGAACGGTAGGCTCCCATAGAGGCTGGACCAGTTCCCAGTTTCAATTTACTGGAACCAGTAAATACCGGTCCCTTTCACGGTTCCAAACGTGGGCCCGCCCACCCGAACCGAGCCGCTATAAATATATTTTTAAAACTCTAGCTCACTTCCAGTGAAAGTGAGTTTTTCTCTCTTACTTTTTGCCATTTACCTTACAATTCTACTCGTGTCTCGCGGTCCTCAGAATAGAAACAAATGGAAGAAATTCTAACCTCATTTCACTCTCGCTTTGAGGGTCTCACGCGGCCACAGAGAAATCCGGCAAAATCCAAACCGATGTTCATGAGTTGCTTAACTAACGATCCAATTCGATTCGACTTCTCAGGCTGTGATTTCTCAAATTCTATTCAATTGCACACGTTGACACCTCAAGAATTAGTAATCCTAACATAATTGGAGAGCAGTCCTTCATTGAAAGTCATTTACTTGAAAGAAACCCATTTGAGGTCTCATATCTTTGCATATTTAGTTGGGCTTGAGCATCATATAAATGTACTAACATGAATTGGTTTGACCAGGCCTGGCAGGCCTAAATGGGCAGGCTTGAGCCTAAGCAAGGAAAATGCTTGTCCAAGGCTACCCAGATTATGCATCAAGCCTAAGTGCCTGATAAGCCATCAAGCTCGTGATAAGATCAATTAACAGGATAGAATTGGATAAAAATCTCTCAAAAATCAAATAAACAACTATATGTATAACTACCATAGTGGTAAAGCATATTATCCGAGATTAGGGATGATAGGTGCTAGGGTAGGTAGATTCTAAATCAAAAACTTGAAGTATATCCTATCAGAGTCGGTTCTCTTAGAAGTAGCCTCAAACCCAAATTGGCCGGTTTCTCCTGAGTTGACCTGGGAATCAGGGCCAACTTTAATTTATATAACTATTATTTTTAGATACATGCAATGTGAATAATTTGCGGCATGGCGATTAAGGCCTTGATGGATTTCCTAAACTTCCTAGGTTTGAAACCCATCTTCAACATATTTATCATGTTATTAACAAAGAAAGGGAAAAAGAAGAACAGAGATAACCGTTCTACCCAAGAAAAGCCCATTCTTGATTCGGTTTCTGAGTTGAATTATTTCGATTAGTCACCCCTATCTGAAACCACCACACATTAGAAAGAAAGAGTCTTCTCTCCATCATGGCTTGATATCACAGTGAGGGAGTCAAATCGCAAATAATATGATAAATAATTACGCAATAAACAATTGCACCCACTATAGCGGAAATGGAACAGCTTCACTATACCC